TTAACTGATTCTCTAAGCAAGTCTACACAGTTCCAACCTAAACAGAACTTACTTCTGAAAGCATAGTGTACATTTATTAGGATCATGTCTTCTGATTGTACAGACTCTCTTAGAAGCTCATTTATGATCACAGACTACAATTTGAGTCAAAATTCATGTAGGACTTGTATGTACTTCTCAGAATTCAAGGGAACCCTTCTACTGTCTATCACCTACAGACTGACAGTCAAACTGAGCAAGTCAATCAGGAGATTGAGCTCTACCTCTGAATGTTCATTAATTATTAGTAATCAGATTGGTCTGAATGGTTAGCTCTGACAGAATTTGTACACAATAACTAGTAACACTCTACAACAGGACAGTCCCTGTTCTTCCTCAATCATAGGAGACATCTGTACTAGGGGACAGTTCTAAACTGGAACAGTAGTTCTGAATCTGTAACAGACTTTGTAGAACAGATGTACAGAACCAGGGAGGACACACAAGCTCTTTTGGAAAAGGCAGTATAGGTTATAAAGCAGAACTATGATTGGAAGAGGTCTGTGGCTAAGGATTACCAGCCTGGTGACAAAGTTATACTAGAAGCTACTAACCTGACTACAGATCATCTAATGAAGAAGTTGGACAACAAGTGCTTTAGACCCTTCATTATTGAAAAGAAGGTCAGTACCTCTGCCTACAAACTCTAACTTCCAGCAATATGAAAGCACATACACCTAGTGTTTAACAAGGTTCTACTGTCTCAATACTATGATCTGGGTTTTCCTTTACAACAAAGACCCCTACTGCCTCTACCAGAACTCATCAGTTCTAAACCAGAATACAAAGTAGAGTATGTAGTAGATACTAAGCTGGTGTACAGAAAGCTCAAGTTCCTTATTCACTAGAAGGGATACCCAGTTGAAGAACACACTTAGGAACCTGCTAAGAATCTCACCCATACTGTTAAGACAATCTGAGACTTCTATTGACTTCATCCAGGTGCTCTGTGTCAACTCTGCCTTACAGATTTCCAAACCCTACTGTTCTAACCTATGCCTGAGCTACTGACTGAGTCTAATACTCACCAATTAGGATAATTGGTTTTAGAGGAGGGGTGATGTTACAGTTCTCTACTCTCATACCTTCAGTTCTGAGGGTTCTACACTCTTCCATACCAGAACTCAGGACTTCTGTCCCTCAGGGGTGCTGTCTATAAACTATATGTGTACTGACTCTTACTACTACCCTTCCTTACTTCATCATTCTATTCCTTTGACCACCCCTTCATTCTTTGTATCATTCTATAGTCTCTTACCCTTTATCCATCCCTTCATTCTTTGTACCTTTATCTTTGACATTCCTTTCTTTCATTCTTTATGGCTCATCATTCTTAGTGGCTCATACTTCCTGAGTACTCTTGTGTAGTTTAGTATATATAAGTGTACAAGATCAGACTGGTCCTGTAGTCTTGATCTTGTCTACTCTAGGTAGTCCTGTACTCTTAGGCTCACTCTATATACTCTACTCTTGTCTCACTCTCTCTCTCTGCCTGTTCTGCAAGTTCCAACTATGTTCTGGTGCTCACATTCTGTATTTCTGTTGTGTAGGATAGTTGTAGCCTGGGTCCCCTTGCTGAGCCTTTAGGTCCCCTCTATACTGTTGCTAACAGTTTCTGGCAGTCCAAGCAAAGCAAAACTTTACTCCTGTTCTTTACTGTTCAATGTATGGCTTACTAAACTTGACTCTTCCTATCTGGTTATTGTCTCCTGAAATATTTATTCCCTTTATGTATATTCACTCCTCTCCTGTCCTATGCTAAAGACACTACAGTCCTAGCCACCCTCCCCAGTCAAGCAGCCAGCCAATGCCCCTGCCCCTGACAAATTAGACAAGATGTCTGAAATCACTCTCAGAAAGAAGAAGAATGCTGACACTCAGGCTGCTTTCTGTGCACACTGTGCTAACTATATTGCCACCCTTGAAGAGACAGGTCTGTCTGCTACTAAGTACCTAAATATTCATGTTCTGACAACTAAGTGTCTGTAAATTGTAGTAACCAGCTTAGAGGCAGTTGTAGTCCAGCTTCAGGACTTGTGTCACAAGGCTTGTGCTAAAGCCTCAGAATTGTGTCAGGAAAACCACTACAGTGTCTAGTCTGTAGATTATGTAGTATATACAAAAATATATTACTTTTGTACTTAGATACAAAGAATAATACTCTAACTCATCTCTTAAATTTTTTTTCTCTCAGGTCTGGTTATGGACCAGTCCAGAACCAGACTGGAACTTGGGTCCGGTCCACTACCCGTCCACATAGGTCCGGTCCCCAGTCTGGGACACTCCCAGACTGCAGATTTGGTCTGGTCCTGAGTCCAGGTGAAGTATGCCCGGACCGGACCAGGACCAGACTTCAGCAACTATAGGTTCTAGACCTTGTGAGACCAAGAACAGCCACTATGACCTCAGTCGAGACCTGAAACACAATTTGTTGACCCTATGGAGAAGGACTTTACTGTGATCCGCTATCAAAGCAAATCGCCACATGTATTGCTTCACACCTCATACTGACCATCTTTGTAGTTTCCCACATGTACTCATCTTAGGTATAATCACATGATTATAAGTTTCATGGGTGGATGCAAATATTTTGGTATATCTAGGTGTCAAGCTTTATTGTCCACAAAGTAGAGGCTGGGTCGAGTTTGATAAAAACGTGTATTTGGTTCAGTTCGACTAGTACACGACACTGCTTTGTACATATAACAACCCCCATTACGCGTAGGGGCGCTCAACAATGGAAGTTGAACACTCGGATTGGATAACCAAACGGGATTACAGTAACTGAAGAGCTCTCATCCATCGGCCGAAAGATATTAATATTCTCGATAATGGTGGATACTAACTCACTCTATGTAAACTTACGGATTGTTATGTTTTTCGTGTACTGCAGGTTTGAAAAGGTATGCAACCTGTCAAGTATTCACTCATGACTCAGTAACATCAGTATAATCCAAAAATAAACATGGTTATCTTCAGGATCGATGGTATGTGTATATATTCTTCTCACACATGACAACTCTGAGTCCTGTAAGGATCTTGTCCTTTCTTTGCACCATATGGCTATGCCAGGGAAGTAGTTTACTTCAGACAGAACACTGCCTAAGAGTCTCTGGGCATACTGACACTAACACTACAGCTTGACAGGATTTTTGAGACCGAGTCGTCCTCCTAGTGCCACTGAAGACTCTACCTTCCATTTCCTTCTTGCTCAAGTTTCAAGGGCTGAGGTACCAGTTTACAGGGGAGTCTTTTCCAAAACTTGGCACAGATAATCTATTCTAAAGTGATATTGACAGATATTGTTTATTTTCAGTGAGACTGTAAATAGACAGAGACTCAGGTACTGAGTATGTGTTTTTAGCATATTGTTCAGAAGTGAATGAGGATTGGTGTGCTAGACTGATCCTATCTGGACAAATCCGAAACTGGAAATGAACCCTGCAATAATATCCTTACAATTGTCTAGTGGATTTTAGTCGATAGACTTGAAGGAATAAGCAGACAGGAAACTTTCCTTGCAGAATAAAACTGAAGATTCGAACCCGAGAAGGGTAGTTGACTGCAATACCACAAATCTGTAACGAAAAACTGCATGTAAAAATCAAGTTAATATCTCTCAGGCTAGCAAACAGTTTGAGGTTGTCTTTGCTTAAATGTCAACTACATACTTGATCAGTGGTTATGTTCTCTGCAGTTCATTCAGGTGAAAATGTGCAAATGGTCTATATATTGTTCAAAGCAATGTGTGGATTTATTTTGGACATCTGAAAAGTTATGGTCGATTTCTTGTCTCTAGCAAGTGTGAACAAGATGCAAACAGGCTGGTACCATGTGCCACCAAGAATAGCAGTTGTTTTTTCCTTACTTGAACATTGGTTACTACAGTAAGTCTCAATTGACATGATCCAAAGGTAATATGACCGATTGTGGTAGACTCTACCAAATTATTCGCACAGGGGGCAGTGAACAATTACCCTCCTATATTTACAGTTCCTATGTTTCTTACTCTTTCGATACGAGACAATTTCCAATATACGTCCTAAATGGGGAATGCTATACAATTCGACTGAGACGAAGACGTGACGTGATGGAGTGGGAAAGCCACCACTATACCGACTGGTCCTCCCAGGAAAAGCGACTAGTAAGCGAGCCTGGACGTTTGATCTACCAAGGAATTCTGAAAGAGCAACAAAATCGAGTTATTGTAAATGAAAGACACGCATATAAATGTTGATGTAGGACACTAGGGAAATACCAATATTACTGTCGTTTTCATAAATATTGTCACACGCGCGATTTGTGATTTTCGTCACACTAAGTACACTCAAATACAAAATCTATCATAACTCAACTAATACTTAACCAAATTACATGATCTAAGTTGTAAAAAATATACTTTTAAAGTGTCTTTCATATTCCAGAAAACATAAAGTAAAATGAGCAAAATTTGAGTAAGATACAACACAATATGTGAGTTTTCCCTATATTTCATGTATATGAGTTTTCCTTATAGTTGCTGATGTCCGGTCCCGGACCGCTCGGACTCGGTCCGGACGCAGGACTGGACTGATGGACCGGTCCTCTACAGTCTGGTCCTCATGGGTCCAGGAGAGGTCCGGTCCTGGGTCCATCATTTTGAGAAATTTCCCGGACCGATGGACTCGTCCGGACCCGGACTGGACTCCGGACCTGAATAACCTGAACTAATGTCTCAAATCTCGTTTCCCATATCTCTAGCTCACTATACTAAAACAGATCATACTCCTTTAAGGATCTTTGAATATTAGCTAGCACTTGCATAGTACATTTTACAAGTTTCTGGCAGTCCAAGCAAAGCAAAACTTTACTCCTGTTCTTTACTGTTCAATGTATGGCTTACTAAACTTGACTCTTCCTATCTGGTTATTGTCTCCCGAAATATTTATTCCCTTTATGTATATTCACTCCTCTCCCGTCCTATGCCAAAGACGCCACAGTCCCAGCCGCCCTCCCCAGTCAAGCAGCCAGCCAATGCCCCTGCCCCCAACAAATTAGACAAGATGTCCGAAATCACTCTCAGAAAGAAGAAGAACGCTGACGCTCAGGCTGCTTTCCGTGCATGCTGTGCCAACTATATTGCCACCCTTGAAGAGACAGGTCCGTCTGCTGCTAAGTACCTAAATATTCATGTTCCGACAACTAAGTGTCTGTAAATCACAGTAACCAGCTTAGAGGCAGTTGTAGTCCAGCTTCAGGACTTGTGTCGCGAGGCTCGCGCCGAAGCCTCAGAATTGCGTCAGGAAAACCACTACAGTGTCTAGTCTGTAGATTATGTAGTATATACAAAAATATATTACTTTTGTACTTAGATACAAAGAATAATACTCTAACTCATCTCTTAAATTTTTTTTCTCTCAGGTCCGGTTATGGACTGGTCCAGAACCAGACTGGAACTTGGGTCCAGTCCACTACCCGTCCACATAGGTCCGGTCCCCAGTCCGGGACACTCCCAGACTGCAGATTTGGTCCGGTCCTGAGTCCAGGTGAAGTATGCCCGGACCGGACCAGGACTGGACTTCAGCAACTATAGTTTTCCTGGCCCTAAAACTGATTGTACAATACTATAAACTAGTCTAAATGAAGAATATAACTTTATTGTTAATTTACATATTGAATCCTAACTAGGATACAGAATACACATATAAGTATAATACATATTTAAGTTTGCTAAAATTGAGCATTTTCCCCCAACCTCTCTACACTCAGGGAAAGTTCTTCTGAGTATTATTTATGTTTGTAAATTTATTATAAACAAAATATATTAAATATAAGTACTTTTATAAGTTATAGTAAAGTTATATAAGTCAGAGAAGTACTATTAAAGTAGTATATAGAATAATGACTTTCTACTTCATTTGGACTAGAAATCCATACTAAGTCTATTAAAACTGTTTGAAACTAGTCTAATTTATTTGGAATGAATTTACAAACA